GGGAACAATAATTCATTGCAGCAAGAGCCAAAAACATACGCAGCGCATTCGGAAAAGTCAAACCATCTATTTCTCTCAGAACTGCCATCTAAAGTGAACCAGAGTTTATTAAATCCTTCATTCTTCAGGTATATTATCATTGCTTTCTGGTGAAGACATTATCACCAAAACTTTCCCAAAGTCCTTAGTTCAGATTTATAGGAAAGAAAAAGAAGCAAAAACCAGTAAAAACATATAATAACTACTGTCAATTTCTTAATACACAATTATAGCAGGTCAAGTGCTCCAGAAATGTGTCACTACACAAGTTCACAGCAATTTGCCTTTATAAGGTTATTTTAAAAGAAAAAAGCCTCATTAAAGGTAATTTCCAAATACAGTGAATACACATCTTCTACCAACTTTTAAGAAAGAAGCAGAAATAAATTAGACAGAGTTAACTTAAAAGTTCATAGCAGTCCAATTATGGTTTTGCATGTGCATGAAAACTGTAAGCCTCCAAAGTGATTTAATAGTATGTGAGTGGCCTGTATTTTACATAAACACCCAGCTACGAATATGGACTGAGGCAGAGAGTCAGCTCTGATGCCAGAAAGGAGATTTCATTTATCAAAGCCATCATTAGCTTGATATAAATGACAGTAAAAATGAAACTACAAGTTATATTGACTGTTAAAATACAATATTTTCACTCACTGTATAGATATCAGAGGTTAAATACAAAATGCATCTCTAAGAAATTGCCCTGTAAAAAAATAGCACCCTGTGGGCTCAGAATATTAAGTGCTCCCTGTAATTAACAAGTGCAAATGTTATTCTCCTCTCAGTTTTATAATGTTTCATGAATGCTATTAAAACCTCTGACGTCAGAACCCTACAGTTATGTGATGAAAACACCAGTAGGCCCTGTTTGAAAGAAGGTTTCCAAAAGGGTTTTTAAATCAGGGGACAAAACCCAGTAACCCTGCCATAATACCTACAGCCTGCTCCCAGCCATTGTACTTCCCGGGGGACCTACCACATACACAGGAAAGCAAGACCATGAGCTTGGGGAGTTCTGGCATCTCACTGCCACCAGTCCTCCTGCCCTGTACAGTTACTGGACACAGCCCCATCACAGACCAGTTTTCTGTCACCTCATCTTCAGCCACAGGCTGGGCAAGGGAACCAGGAAAGAGCCTGTGAGCGCTTCCAATGAAACACCATGTGGCCAACCCAAAGAGGTGAGGGCATTGCTGTTTCACTGCCTCAATTTGTTTTATTACCAGCCTCCAAATATAAGTTCCTCCTACAGATATAGCTGGACTCTGATGCATATAGCAAATACAGTTGCCTTTCCATTACATTTTCAGTGTCTGCAAAGAACCATACACAATTTATCAACTACACAAGAGCAGAGGCTTTGTGGGAGTAAAAATGAGCCTCCAACTAACTTTACCTCTAATTTCTTTTTCAGAAAAACTGGAGCATCTTTTCCCAGGCATTTCATCAGGTTTTGCAGAATAAAGATGTCTCTGATGCTTGAAATGCGCTGCTCCACTAGTAACCTGATGGAGAAACACACACAAGAGCTCTCCTCATTTCAGCACAAACAGGTAAGTACCCCCATTCTTCTTCACTGATGTAGCCACCAGGTGAAAGCTATAATTCTTTGCTCTTCTCCTACCTTCCTTTTTTTGAAATGCTGACAAGTCTACATGACACAGCTGCGACACAGATATTTTACACATGGAAACAATTATAAATGCTTTCTTAGTGTTAATCCTGATAGATGAATTGTTGTTGCTGATACACTTAACAGCAGGGACACCAGAGCAGACTGCGCAAGCGACAGTGCAAATATGAGTGCTGTTAAGCCTCAAGGAATTAACAATCTTCTGCAGAAAATTGTGCATTTTTATCTTTAAATCATCGATGCGCAGGCAAGTTCTGAAACAGACAGGAAACTCAGGAATGGACACAGACAACAACTGGATGCAAGTGAGGAACAAAACCAAACAAACAGTGCTGTGGGCTGAACAGGAGATAACACAGAGACTGTCTGCACAAGATGAAGGTGCACCCCTAGCACCTCCTCTTCTGGCTCAGTGGGTGGTACTGTAATTGTTAGGTCTGAACCACCCTTAAATATACCTGCACAGGTAAACATACCTACAAAAATATTAAGTGTCACTTTCTAAGGCAGTGCACTGCCCTGAAACTCATCCCTGCAAATGGGCCAGAGCTCCAGACATCAGGACAGAGAAGTGTAGATGGCACTCCTGCTTTCCACCAACTTTTAAGAACTGTGTACCTGTGCTTCCAGGAGAACTGGTTTTTGGGTATCACATCCACTTTCTCAAAGCAGAACGTAATATAGGGTCAAAAGTACTAATCCATGGCAAGTTTTGTGATAGCCTCAGTAAAATCAATCTCATGGGAAAAGAGTATTTTTGGTTGCACACATAAATCACACAGGCCCAGAAAAAAAGCCAAAGAAGTTATTCTGATAAATCACTACACAGAGGGCTTGCTGGACACAACTAGTCTTCATCTAAGTTTTCAATTACTAAACTGCAAGAAAATATTCCCAGGCTGCTAAACAATGCTTTTCATCATGAAAAATCAGACAGGTCCCTAAGTAAGATGGTCTCATTATCTCCCATCTGCATACAGATGAAAAAGGGATAGATATGTGAAGGGACTTGATCAACATCACAAAAAAATTGCACTAGTGGAGCTGCAGTCAGAACACAATCCCCTGCGACCAGTCTAGCACCCTTTACCACTGGAAAGCCCTCCTCCTTGAAACTGCAAAGACAGTGCCAAAATTCACTGTCCAACACAGCTCTAATGTCATGGGATCATTTAAATCCTAAAACCACAGAACATATTTTATGTGCAGACATACCCTGGATGATTTCTAACAGACAAGCATTTCAACAACATTTAAATATGAAGGACATGTGAAAGATATATTTTTCTCACTGTAATCCAGCTTGAAGAGCGCTCACATTCTTGTCTTTATCCATTCCTGCTAAAGTAGTTGCCAAAACTGAGATACATCGATTATCAAGTTGATTGAGCTTCTCCTGTTAAAAGTTTAGACAATGTCGCATTACTTCAAACCAGCAAAAGTTTCAGAAAAGAAAAACTGACCACTTTTACTCTGTAACTGCCATTTTCTTTTTCCCCTTGAAAAGTCAGTTTACAATCTTTATTTCTGCAGAACCCACAAGGTCTCACATCAGTCAAACTTAGTTGATTTGGAAGAGGTAATGATTTTTGAGATTTCTGCTCTCTTTTAAATCCGAAATCAGGCAGCGGTTTCAAAAGTTAAGGAAATTAGAAGCACACACAAATGAATTATGGGAACTGTTTCCATGGAACATCAGACTAAACCAGGGATGTAACCCAACTCTCTTTGATGCTGCACAGCTTCCCAGAATTACCTGCTGGTCATTAATCCCAAACTGAGGACCAGGGTTTTCACACGTACCTGGCACACCCTCACCAGGGTCTGGAGCAGGAGCGTGTTCTGCGGCACGCCGAGGTTCACCAGGGCGTGCAGGCTGAACACCAGGTCCCCGCGCGTCATCCTGTGCGCGTCGCGCAGCAGCTGCTGGCACAGCTTCATGAAAGCCGGGTGCTCAAAGATCAGCTGCTTCTCGTAGCGCTGCTGCTCTTCCGACAGGTTCTTGTAGAGCCTCCAGGCCATGGTCAGAGAGTTTGTGTAGTGCTTGATGGAAACAGCTGCCTCTGCAGCCAGGTCCAGCGCGTCGCAAGGACAGGAGCACTTCTGGAGGCTGGCAAAGAATGGGTCACTATGATCCACTGCATGCTTCGCTTTGAAGCTCCCAGAATCATCCAACTTTTCAACTTCCAAGGAGCTCTGGGAAGCCTTCTCGCTCACCAAAGCCTCTGCACCTGTGCTATAAACATCTGTCTTTTGAGATACAAATCGAAGGGATGATCCATGCAGAGAAGGCAAAATATTTAAAAGTAATCTCCTGAAGTTCACATTTCCTAAGGGATCCCTGTATCTGCCAATCCATAAAACGTGTTTCCTTGTTGTGGCTGAAGATTTGAGAGTGAGCATGGAACTGTACCTATGCACACATCTGACAGTATTTAACAAATAACTTATTTTATTATTCATTTCTGCTAATGCCTCATGGACAGATTTGAAACGCCAACTCAAAGTAAGGGATCCGAGGATCCGATGACATTCTACCAGTGGAAACAGTCTTGGAGAAACTGCACAAGATCACACATCTGTAGAAACAATTGAAAATTATGGATTAGTTACCAGACCTTCAACTCCCACAGTTTCAATTGCCAAATCTGCACACTTTTACAGGAAGGGAGAAGATTTGGTAAAAGACCCCCGGAAAATGATTTGCAGAGAGGCTTTTATTTGGTCTCCTACATTTCAGTCAAACATCTCAGCACAAGGACAACTCTTGCTTCCTCCTTGCTGCGCTACCTGCCAGCTCTGCCAGGAAGCAGAGTCTTTTCCCAAAGGACCTTTCCCCAGGCACACGCGTCTCCCGACAGGGCTCTGGAGGGTCCCTGCAAGGCTTCAGCAGCGGGTAACGGGATCCCACCCGCCAGCCTGTCCCAGGCCGCCTGCCATTCCCCGGGACAGCCGCCTTCCCGGCACAGCCGCGGGCGCTCGCTCTCCCGGTGCCGGGGAGAAGCCGCTGGCTTTCGGGATCACTTCCCGCTGGCCCTGGGAGCGCTGCCCAGCAGGGCGGGACAGTGCACGAGTACAGAGGTCTTTCGGCGGCTCCGCAGCGGCTCGGAGCACGCCGGAGTAACGGCGGGGCTGGCGCCGGGCAGGGCCGGTCTCCCGCGGCCGCGGTTACCTCGCACACGCACCGCCGTGACACCGGGCCCGGCGCGCCGCCAACTCCCGGCAGGCCGCGCGGGACGGACGGCACGGGCCGAGGGACAAACTGCCACGGCGCGCGGCGCGTTGCTGAGCAACGCCAAAGCGACCGTTGGAGGGCGGCGCGCGCATGGCCAAGTTCGTGGTGGCGGGTGAGGGGAGAGCCGGGAGCCGGGCAGGGCCGCACCGGCGGCGGCGGCACCTTGTACCCGGACCCGGGCAGGGCAGCTCCGGCGGCAGCACTTTGTATCGGGAGCTGGGCGGGGAAGCAGCGGCATCAGTACTTTGTACCGGGAGCCGGGCGGGGACGCACCGGCAGCAGTACTTTGTACCGGGAGCCGGGCGGGGCAGCTCCGGCAGCGGCACCTTGTACCGGGAGCCGGGCAGGGCAGCTCTCCGTGCTTGCAGCAGTGGCCCCTGTCTGCGGGCTCACCCCCGTGCTCCTTTGCGGCTCTCCGGGAGCCGTGTCCGCACGGAGTGCAGCCTCAGGCGGTCCCGGGTCAGCGCTCCCCCTCATCCCGCCGGTCAGGCGTCAGCGTCTCTGCTGCTGTGCCCCCAGGAGTGGCCTCCTCGGCCCCTTGGACGCTGGCTCGGGAGTCTTTTTCAGCTGCAGAATTACTCTTCCTTAGCTGGCTCACAATAAACAATGTTTAGTCTTTTAAGCCCTTATCAGTGAATGGCAAAACCATCCAATTGTGCTGTTGTTGCTATGTTTACAGGTAAGGCAAACTGCCCTTACTATGCCAAAGCTGAACTCCTGGCTGACTATCTCCAGACTAACTTACCCAGCTTCAGGGTTCACAAGATTACTCAGCACCCTGACAAGTGGGAGGTAAGAGATTGTAAGTCAAGTCGCTGGTAGGTGCTCCAGTGCTCTACAAACCAAGAAATATACTTATCTGCAGTATGTTTCTTCTTCTCCTGTATTAGTGGTTTGCTGTGTAGATAGAGGTGCTGCAGAAGCATCTCTGGCTGTGAGAGCCAGCCAGAGGAAAGGTTACAATGTTTTCAGCAATTGACATCTCTGAGTTTTACTATAGAAAATGGGCACAAAGTGTGGACCAGCCTCAACTGTATTATGTCAATAAAAAGTTCAAGGTGTTTTTGCTTGCTTGCTTGGTTTTCTGGGGTATTTTTTAAAGTATAAATGGGTGTTCAGCCTGTAAATCTTTTGCTCACTGTGATTACATATACCTTCAGAGTTCTTACTTGTCAAGAGCCTTTGTGGCATTCAAGGGCTTTGAATTACAGTGGAAGTAAGAAGTTAAATATCACATATTTTTTTACAGTGTGGATGGGCCTGAGTACTTATGTCATAGACATGCTGCCTATAAGGCTCTGAAAAAAACTGCAGCCTTACTCCATGAAATAGCCAGTACTGTGGTGTTTATTACTTTGTGTATTTTGCTTTACACCTCCACCAAGTAATTCAAGCAGTTAAGTGAAAAGCAATTAACCTGTTCACCTTACTTACCTTCCGTGGCTGACTAAGAATCCTCAGATTACTCTCTGCTTCACAACATTGCTGTCTTCTGTACCACTAAGACAACTAAGTGAAATCCAGACCTTGAGGTGAGCTATCCCACTGTATCACCATACCTTGCTTTGTGTTATTCCTGCATTTTCTACCCACTGGTAATTAAATTCTGAAGCACTTTGTAATTATATATTGAGAGGAAATAGTAAGAAATGCTCGTAGTTTTAATGTTTAAATGTTACCAAATGTGATGTATTAAAACATCTGGTGGGGATGTCATCAGCAGTGGCTTCATGACATTTGTGAAACAAATGGATGGGAACACAGACAGTCTCCTATCATTTGGAGAGAACTGTTGGACCGTGGAGGGAAGGGTCAGCTTCTGGGAGGACTTAATGATTTTCTGGAATATGCTCAGGTAATAAGCTGCCTTTAATACTGTAAGCCCATGTTTTACAAAATTGTTGTTCCTTTTACCTCCTTCAAATGTAAAATAAAGCAATTGTTAATGTTACCTTGATGGGTTTGGACTGCCATTTGCTTAGAGATCATCCTTTTTGTTCTTAGAAGTATTATGGCATCACTTCAATGATGCTGAGTGAGGAAATGTTAGCCATTGCTGAGGAGAACCTGCAGGCACATCTTGAAATTGTAAAAGAGGATGAAGAGATTAAAAGTCTTATCAAGCCTATGCAGATCTGGATTACCAGGTGAGAGTGAAGAGAGTATCTGTGAACTTTTACTCTGTTCAGGAGAATACACTTTTTCCTATCACATATAACAGGTGTAACCATCTGAAGTTAATCACAAATCCCTGTAATTTCATGAATTGACTTGGTTCTGCACCCTCACTATTAGTATTTAACTTAGCAATTAGTATATGGCTTAGAAATAATTTATGGTTTTGTTATGTTCTACACCAGTTCAAAATGAGGGGTATGAACAGGCATCATTTAGCCCTCAGATCAGTTTAGGGAAAAGCAAGTACTTACAAAATAAGCTAGAAATTTTATAGTGCAACTATCTTGCATTAAATGTTGTTGGAAATATTAGAGTAGGTAAAGAGTAGGTCTTTACTTATAGAAATTCCTGTATATTCCTGTAATTTCTAGTGGTCCTAATAGAGCACCTTAAAAATTGTGGTTCTATAAAGACATAAATTTTAAGTGGTGGCGTTGACTGAAATGCACAGGATGGAGAAGCCTTCAAATGAAAGGCTTCAGAAACGAAAGGAGGACCCAACTCTTAATTCTTAACCTGTTAAAATGACAAAAAGAGCAGTAAAGGATACAAGCTAATGGTATCTTTAAGTGTAATCTAGTACAAAATAAACACCTTTGTGTTTATGTAATACTTCCAAACAAGCAGTGGTTCATTGTTAACTGTAACTTTTCTACATCCTCTCTTACCAGTGCATCAGTTCCAATCTGTTATCATCTGATCCCGCTGTTGGCAAATGGAGAAGTGTTTGGGATGACCACAGAAATCAGTATCCATTTGCTTGACACTGAGCAGTTTAAGGAGATGCTTCGTAGTATTGTAATGGAAGCTGAAGACATGGCATTCCCACTTCTCCGCAGTATTTCAGAGCACACAAAAACAGATCAGGCTTTTATTGATGCTGATATTATCATTGTTCTTGATGATGTCCTCTTAAACCTTGAAGTCCAATCCCTTGAGAACTACATCAGAGAAGTGAGTGAGATCTGCCAAGTGTATGCTCCCTTGATTGAGAAGAATGCCAAGAGTGAGGTCAAAGTCATTTCATCAGGAAAAACCTTTGCAAACCTTAAGGCAACAATGTTAAGGATATATGGCCCATCCATTAGGCCTGAAAATATAATTGCCATTTCAACATCCTGGGAAAGTGCAGCTAAAGCCATGCTGGCCAGGAAGCTGAATATGAATACAGCAGGTGAATGTTTATGTAGCATTTGGGGAATTCAGTGCACCTTCAAGAGTAGATATTTAATTCCAGAACAGTTGATGTGCATGCAGAAATGCACAGTGGTGCACCCACTGAATTTCTTGGCTGTACAGAATGCTGGAGTCTTTGCTTGCTCTGAGATGCAGCCCTGCCACTCTGGTGTGTATTTCATACTGCAAATATGCTAAGGAAGACAATTGTTTTGCAGATTGGGAGCTAGGACTTCAGGATTGCATTTGCACTCTGTAGTGCGTTGTTGTTTTGGAGCTGTGAATAAACATGACAACATACTGCTGTGCAGATAATGAGAGTAAAGTAGAAGTGTGTTCTAGTATTATTTTGAGGTTAATTAACTTTCATTTTCAGGTCAATTGTTATAGCTTCGTTTTATTTGCACAGTTCTGCACTGCATAGCAAAGGGGTGCTCTGACAGTCTGCTCAGCATCAAGATTCTGTAAGTGTTGCATAGCTAGAACTGGTCATTGATGACAAGTCTAGATATTTTGGAGCCTAATAAAATAAAAAAGCAAGTTAAGAGACTGAATAGTTTATCAGCAGGTTATTTGAGAAATCTTTTTGCACCAAAGCAGGTAGGTTTTTTAATGATAGTTTTTACTGATCTTATATTTATTTTTAGAGGATTTTAGAAGGAACATAACTGTATGTTTGCTATATGATTTGTTACTGTTTTAAGAGTTAAATATTTTCTAGATTTTGTCTATTATTTACAGTAACATGATATAAATTAAAGCTTTTTCAGCTTGTGATAAGGTTTCATATGTTAGGGATAACTTGGTTGCATTTTTTAGATCAAATAATTTCTGCTAGCAAGGCAGGGCACAGATTTAAATAATTCATTTTGAAAAGGATTTATGAAGCCCATTTTTCTGAAAGTATTTGTCTTTTCACTTTCCTTTGTTACAGGAGTTAAAGATGTGATTGTTTGGGGCAATATTACTGGGTCTAACTACATTGATTTGTCACATGCAAAACTTTATGGATATGACTGTGCTATTCGGGGCCCTCCTAATTTTCAACGTCCTTTGTTGAGTATGATTTATGATAGGTACAGTACAGATTTATTTCTTTCAAGTAAAATTAAAGAACTGCTTTTAATCCATGCTTATCTGGATTGTCTAATAAAACATCAATACATGTTTTTGTTTTCAAGATTTGTCTTTACTGATTGGCACTGTACATAAAGGAAAACACAAATTGAGGTACTCCATCTGCAAAAGAAGTTGGGTAGCTCCTAGTGCTGTGCTGTTGCACTCTCCTGCTAACTCTGTTTATAACTATATTTTTCCTACATTTTAAATGGGTTTCTCTTATATCATGAGCAGTTTATAAGAAGTGATGGATGTCCAGGTAGTGATTTAGATGTCTAGTTTGCATGAAGGAACTTTGAAATAGTATTAAAAGATTTCTGAACCTGAATTACATGGAATAGGCTTGAGCATACTAATGTTGTCAGTTTCCCAAAAACGATGATTTGGTAATATATGTGAAAAGGATACCTAGCAGCTAGATAGCTCCCTGTGAGCAGCTAGATAGCTCCCTGTGGAAAGAACAGTAGCAGAGAAAGGGTGGGTGCAGTGAGAGGGCAGCAGATGTTACATACACCCAAGCCTGGCTATCTGGAGCTCCCACCCTAGTCTAGACTTAGCATTTACTGGAGAGCAGACATTTCTATGTTCTAGGCTTGTACTGAGCCTCACACAGGCAGACTGGTTAGTAGCTAGGTTTTTACAGAAGATAGTAATATATAAATTACATATAAAATATTAAATTACTTATAAAATATAAATTACAATAATAATAAGTTAAGACTTGAGTAAATGACCTAACTTTCACAGGACTTGTAACTTTTTAAGCTACTTTTTGTTAGACTTTTTTTCTCTGTCTGTAAAAATGCCTTGCTTTCAGCAGTGATGTTTGAGTAAGTTTTGACTATTTTCTTTAGTTTAGTTCTTTTTTCTCTAGGAAACTACTCTTCCTGCAGTCATCTTAGTTTGTCATGCTTTGTCTCTCCATGTTGTGTTGGTAGCGAATGGATCCATTCAGAGCTCGTGTCGGCACAGAGCACGCTGAGTTCCCGGGTGTCCCGTGGCACAGGAATGTTACCTGCGCATGCCGTAGCCACAGTGCTGCGGTACTGGTACCATGGCTCTCCTTCTGAGGAGATCATTTCTGTGGGAATACTTAGTGAAGGTAAAGCTAGCTGTGCTTCACATGTTCTCTTGTAGCTTTGCCCTGCATATAATAGCTTTTCCCCATCTTTAGTGTTATTTTTAATCAATATTTTTCATTTAATAAAATCTTGTAAAACAAATCATGTGAGGCTAAGAGTTTGTTTCATCATGAGAACTTCCAAATCTAACAGAGCCTGTGATAATGCTCACTTTTTAGAGGCATTTCTTGGGTTAATGTTGTCTTTTTGCAGATGATCTCTTAGTCTTTTTGTTTAAATGCTTTTCTGATGTGTTTTGTGCAAGAACTCTTTATAATTCTTAGAGCCTAGCCTATGAAAGTGTGTTCTTCTTGTGTAGTTATGTAAACCAATTAATGGAATATTTCACAGCAGCCATTTAACCCTTATGAAATCAACAATTTTCCCCCTTTTTTAAGATGTACAACTGATACACAATCGTGTTATTACAACACAGGAAAGACACCTGTTGGAGATGGTCCAGAGGAGGGCCTCACAAAATGATCAGGGGTGAATGCCTCTCTTATGAAAACAGGCTGAGAGAGTTGAGATTGTCCAGCCTAGAAAAGAAAAGGCTCTGGAGAAGAAAAGGTTCTGGAGAGACCTTATAGCACCTTCCAGTGCTTAAAAGTTCTTATAAGGAAGATGGGGACAAATGTTTTAGCAGGGCCTGTTGCAATAGGACAAGGGGCAATGGATTTAAAGTGAAGGAGGGTCAATTTAGATTAGATATAATTAAGTTTTTTACCATGAATGTGATAAGACACTGTAACAAGCTAACCAGAGAGGTGGGAGACGCCTCAACCCTGGAAACATTCAAGGTCAAGCTGGATGGGGCTCAGATACATTTGAAGATGTCCCTGTCCATGGCAGAAGGGTTGAACTAGAGACCTTTAAAGGTCCCTTGCAGCCCAAACCCATCTGATGCTATGGTTCATGCACATCTAACTAAAGTACAAAGTTACAGTAAAAGGGACATTCTTTTTTGAACTGTAGATTGGAAAAGATAATCTCTGTTTATAATGAGATCTTACAGTTGTAGACATTTGCAAGTCTGTGGATTTAGTGTTGACACTGGTGAGGATGTAATCAGAAATAACATGTTTTGTCCTTTTTTCCCCCTCTTCTTCAGGTCAGTTTTGCATTCCTGAAGGAATTATCTTCTCTATGCCAGTGAGGCTCCAGAATGGTACCTGGGAAGCCATGACAGAATTAGAAATTAATGAAACGACCCAAAAAGTTCTAGGGCGCTTAGCCCACGAGCTGGTTCAGGTGAGGGTTACTTGAGTCTCGTGTATGCACATTCTGCCACCTATGGGCACGTTGTGATACAACTTTGAGCACAGACCGTTAAGTGTTAGATGTACAAACTGCACACATGCACTTAGGCATTGTAAAGAGCAGGTATTTATAAGTGTAAGGTAGTGTTTGTGTATTGAAGTGAACAGACAACTGTTCTGCCCAAAAAGAGATGATAAAATGAGTTTGCCTATGTACGTGTAGAATTTGCACTCCAAAGTTCTGTAGGCTTTGTGCAAAACAGAAATATTGCCTTTCATTTAATGTTTCTACATTCTATGTTGATTTTTTATATGGTATTCAGAGTATTTCTATGCTAGAAGACATATCTTTTGGCATTTTATGGCTGTGACTTTGCATGAATGAAGACCAGACCTTACTAGAATTAGGGATTTTTCAGAAAATATAAAATCATTGAGTACTATTTTCATAATGAACTTCTTGTCACTTAATGAGACAGAAAGAATTTATTTGTACTATTGAAATATTTAAAAAGACTGGTCCCAAACTCTACATTCCAGCTTTAATCAGGTTTTGTGATCTTCAAACTACTAATGTGTAAGAATTATTTTGTTTTAACGTATTTTAAGTTTGTGCTAGAAATTGGAGCAGATTAAAAGAATGGGTGATATTAAAATATGCTTTTTCTTCCATTTAGGAAAAGCTCGTTGCACTGAAGGAAATAAACGAAATGCATCCATATGAAGCAGAGTAAAAACTCCACATCTTCTCCCAAGTGTTTCTCTGCTGCTTTTCCTATTATATTGCTTTTCAAGTTCTGTCCTCATTCATCAAAATAAGAACAAATGAATACTAAAGGATGTTATAATTGTTTTTTCACTTTTTCTCTATTTTCAGGTTGTGAAATTCCTGCACTTTTCCAATGTTCTCACCATTTCTTTCTAATTTTCATTCCTACAGACCTTTTCCCTACTTTGTTTTCTTTCTCCCTTCCTTCAGATTCTTTCTAGTGCTTTTATATCAGCCTATTCCTTACTATGAGCTGTTCTTTGCCATTAAGGAAGGGCTGAAGAATGGGGAAACTATTCCAAGTTAGAGCCTCTACTGAGCACAAAGCCTTTTGGTTATCCATGCTTGGATTTTGGGAAAGGACTAAAGACACAGTAAGATATTCTTGATGAATGCAGAATTTAATTATTTGGCTAACCATGACCTTGTTTAACCCAGACAGGGAGTTCCCAATGAGATAAGAGCGTCGTTCCCTGTCTGCTCTCTAACTGTATGGCACTGCTGTTCTGTAGAGCTGTCCTGTTCCTCTTGTGTCAGCGTTCAGTGCTAAGCAGAGTCCTTCCCACTGCTAGCAGCAATGTGCTTAGTTGTGGCCTTCTCCTGTGACATCAGTATCAGGTGTTCAAGTATTCCCAAAGTGCCCTGTTTTATCTCCTTGCATGTGGAAGTATTTTAGGAGGCTAGCAAAAATAGCTCATGTTTTGCCTTTTTTTTCAACAGAAATGGAAACCTTACCTACTGGGTCACTTTAGCTAGAGTTTTCTGGAGGAGAAAATGCTGGAAATTCTCATATTAAATAAGGTTTCCATTGCCCAAAAGAGGAAACTACAAAGAAAGTCTAAGCATTGCTGTAGCTTTTGCAGTATTTTCCTCATTAAAAAAAATCCATGAAATCTCTAGGTGGAAAAAAATTTCAAAACCAGCATGAATGTAACATTTTTAACCTGTAGACCAAAGTAAAATTTCTACTGATCTTAATGAATCTAAGATTTCATTTGCATCTAACCACATGTTTCTTCAGACCAATAAACTATTGCAAAAACATAGTTTAATGCCTAAAATGTTCACATGAAAATTCTGACCACTGTCACATACAGAGTAGAAGTTTTGTAATTCCAAATATTTTTTTTCAGAGGTACAGAAACACAGTATTTTTGTAATAAAATATCTTCTTAGGAAAAATTGATTTTTAAACAAAAAATATGTTTATACATCTCCTTAGTGACAAGTTCATCTTTGTTTCCATGTTTTTCTTATTTAATGAGTTTCAAGAGAATACTCATGTGTTTTAAGTCAAACATAATTAAATTCTTGTTTAAACAGAATTGTTGAGGAACCACTTTTACTTGCATCTTTGGTGTCTTAAATGATGAAGATTGTGTTAATGACATTCCTGTACTTGCTAATTTTTTATCAGATATGTTTAAAACAAAATAGAAAGCTTCCTGTTCTTTGAATCAGTTACATATATTTACAATAAATTCATTATTTCTGTTCAAATGGAGGTTCAAGCTCTGAATAGGGGCAGACTTCCTATCTGAGGAAACGAAGATAATTTACTGGCTGATTAGGACAGGACTGGGAGGGATGTCTCACTGGTCTTAGAAAGAAGAGCTCAGAAAGCTGGGGTATCACAAGGGGTCTGGAAAAATCTGGGGTTCTATGCAAAGTGTATATGGGAAAAGCAACATTTAGAGGAATTGAGATATTATTGTAAGTATCTTCATGGAAGAGTTCACATGGAAATTGTAGAGGTAGGTGTTGTAAAAAGTCTTGAAGAGAAGGGTTAGGAACCATTCATTTCATGGGAAGTAGTCGCCAGGGAATTAGTTTCCAGTGGTGTATGCACAGAAGATTGGCTGAGTTTCTGAGGAGCATCTGGAGGCAGATGTCTCAGGAGAAAATAGCAGGGAGGGATGCTACCACTAGTCTCTACAAACTGCCTGGTTTTTCTGTAATTCAATTTCCAAGATAGAAAAGTTAGCTTCTCTAATGTGTATTTACATTTGGGCTTTTTCTATATGAATAGGCTTTAGTAATCTTACTCTTTGAATTCCTTTATTCTGCCAGTGGAGATAGTTCAAACAACCTGCAGGTCAAGCACCAGCACTGCACAGCTGTTAATGAGAGGGAAAATAACTCTTCCTGCAATATATAAGTAGACCTATCTGACTTCTGAGTCACCAGCTGAAAACCTCTCTTCTCAGAAACTGGGAGCAGAAAGAAAAAGCTGCTTGGGATGTCTCACGTATCCTAAATTATTCTGACTGGATTTGCCTAGTGGTGTGCAGGGAAATTCAGGTCTTTCCTCATGGAAGCATTAGTGAATGGAAAAGCTTTTTTTCCTAGCTTTTGTTTAGGAGAAAAAGAAAGAAAAAAATAATAGGAAAGCTAAAATATGGTAGCATATTCAAAGTTGGTTACAGCTGTAAAACAGCAATTGACTTAGTCATCAGTAAGTTTGGGTTTTCTATAAGTAATAAGCAATTTCTGGGACACATTTTTTCCCAAGTCCCTAAGTCATGTTATGTATGCTGGATATTCATGGTATTGATGACTCCTACTACCTAGCTGTTATGGTAACCATTGAAAAATTTATGAAAAGGGCTTTAAGTTGTATGTGTCTTACAAATGTTATATATAGATTCCTCATAAACCCTAGCATTTGGGTGTACTGAAGAGCTTTGTGGTTAGTCTGAACAATTCTAGTTCTAGGACATTACCACTAGGGCTTACTATTTTTCTTCTTTGTGTAGCTGCCCCAACTCTTTGTTACAGCACACTGTGCTTTCTACCTTACTGTGTCAGCTTCTACCTCATTTTCAGTCTCTATAGCAACAGTTTCTCAGCAACAGAGAGATGCTTGGTAAAGGCCTCTCAATTTAGAAATATTGCACTCCAGCCATAAAAAAAAAAAAAAGCTTTGAAACAAAGATCAAAGAAGTTTTATCTTTAATAATTCAGGATATTTATTACTAATTAATTAGTGTTCTCTGTTTTGACTGCTTAGACAATTACCTGATACTTTGATCTGGGCCTTTGCTAGGCATTTGTTGTGAGCAGCTTTAATTTAAAAGCAAAACCTTTAGAACTGTGTCTTGAAGTCAACTTTTAAGTGCTGTAAAACTACTGGACTTCTCTGGCGGTGTGATCTGACTTCTGGACCTTCAGTAAGTAATGAGAAGAAGGTAAGTGCAGCTACTGTATTTAAGAGGAGAAAATAATTTTGGCCTTTGAATAAAACATAGAATGTCTTCACCCTTCACAGGAAACAAAAGTAACTGTAGGTTCTTTTATGCATATTTAAGATGTTGATCATATGTTGTCTGATTTCAAAAGAAAAGTCTCTGTGATAAAGTTGATTGATCTGCTGGGGGGTTTCTGCCTTACTTCATGTGGCTCGTCTTCCTCTGTACTTTAATTTAATTATGTAGCATGCTTCAAAATGCATTTTATTTGCTAAAGTGCATATTCTGAGAACCTGTATGTCAAACAAAGTACATATAAGTAATCAAGTGTAACTTTTCTTTCACATTCCACTAAGAGTCAAGAAAAAGGCTATCCTTGTTCTGCACATAAGAGTCTTCATGTTAATGGGACCAGGACTGTTAACTGTAACAATTTCCTTCCTGAGTATTTGTACATAATTTTTTTTTTGTTTGTTTTCTTAAGTGTTTTTCGCTATTAAAGCACACAAGTAACTGAAATATAACACATTTGCTGAAATAGTGTATCAATGGGCAAAGTTACTTCAGGTTTCATGGGCAGCAGATACTGCTTCTGCTTTCACATTGTGTTCATGTGCTAACATGCAGTAGATTCTCTTTGTTTCACCCAGGCACTCCTACTGCAGTCAAGATCTGGACTGTCCAAAGAGTTTTGTATATGAAAATGTAGACTGTACATACATTAATAATGTTTTCTGTAACTTTTTGGGAGGAGGGTTCATAGATATGATGTAATTTGGTAAAACACAGAAACACATGGTTGACTTTGAGACTATGAATACCCTAATACAAGACTATAGAGCGTTTTTCCATATGGGTAATTTAAATGTTAGACATTTTGTTGTACTGGACAGAGATCTGGTCATCTTACAGTAAGTATCAAGCGCTCATATATTATGCATGCTGTATAACTCAGTAAGTCAGTGGATCTGTTCTTATTTGAGTGAGCAAATTCTAATGAGTTCTAATTTAAGTGAGTTTAACCTGAATATTTTTACATTCATCCGTACATTCATTGTCCACTTTCTTTATTTTATGTACCTCTGGTACAGAGAAAATAAAGGAGGTAAACTATGCATTTGTAAGTCTACCTTCTAGATTGCTACATGTAGCTTTCACCAAACACTTATGTTTAATTCATTGCTCTGTGTCTTCTGATTTCACTGATTTTCGTACATGAACTTTTCTGTCAAGTTATGCAGAGACTCCTACTACTGCAGCTATTTTAGGAACAGTTGTATCATATTTTCATATATATTGCATATGAATATATATCTATAGGCAAACTTATGTGCCTGTGTGAATGCTGGGCAGTGCTGTTGTTTTGCAGAACCTGTAGTAAGAATGAAAAAAATGCCATTATGCTTATTTTCCACTATTATATTTTCTAAGAAGGACTACAGTAAAAACTGTGCCATTGTAGTCTTGAATGAAAAAGACTATTAAAACAAATCTGTATCTCAGTATTTTAAGCATCTAAATTCAGGTTATGGCTGAAATTTAGGGACTGAAACACAAAGTTGCAGGTTTCACCAATTAAAATGGTGAGGAGCATATTTATGGTAGACTAAATAATTTTAGATCATTGAATATTTATGCTTCATAAATGTCCAGTATTCTGTCATGTTTATGAAAAATGATCAACGATTCTAACTGAAAAAATGTAAGAAGTGAACATTTGTTTAAGTTCAGATTTAACAACAAATTTATTATTTAAGTTTTAAATAATTTCCAACTATTTAATTTTTTATTTATTTTAGCAAACTTTCCCTTTGTTCTCCACAATAAACCATATAGATGGCCTTTGGAATCTTGTGTGACTTAGATCCATTATACCTAGTGTTTTGCAATTGCAGTGTTAGCTGAAAGATGGTTACTACTAGTTAATTCATACTTACATTTCTGTGATTGGAAATACAATGCAGTATAG